CTGACTCTTGGGAGCCAACCAACTGAACAAGCCCCCCCTGACTCATAGAAATCAACCAACTAAACAAGCCCCCCCCTCCCTCTGACTCATGGGAATCAACCAACCAAACAAGCCTCCCTTTTAACTGGATGTTAAAAGAATGGTGTTTTATCTGTTGGATTATATTGCACTAAGATACTATTTAGCCTTTTCAGGTAAATCAGACATAATCAAGTATAATACATATTTAACAAGAAACATTTATATATATATATATATAGTTCTACAGAATTTTTAAATTCACCAAACTATGACTTTGTTTTCCTAGACGCGTCCGGTTGCAGTACCTATCCTGGTGAGTTACATCCTCTTGGTGGGGTCTGTAATATCACTCTTCTTCATGTCAATAACACTCTTCGTCTTCTTATATTTCAAGTAAGTTTATGTGTCTGCTATATTCAGATGAAGCGTTGTTTCAACTTGCCACCTCTGTTTCTTCTTTGAGTTAGTCAGACAATTTTTTAAATATATTGCATTAACTGGTCATTAAAATCAATTTAGAAAACTCTATAAAAATAACTTTATTGATCAAATTAGGCCTTAACTTATACGTTCCTCGAGTTGTTTCACTTCTCACTTTCATCTTATAATTAACTTGTTAAACGAGTCTTCAATATTTTACATAGAAGTGAAAAAAAAAATTCGCACAAAAGAGAACTTTGAGTAACAACGAGCTCGGAAGCCATATCTTAAGCCAAACCGGACAACATCTACAAAGTGAAGGTTATGGATACAAAATACCACTGCGATTAAGCTATACATATCTCCAGGAGCTGTTAACAATATAAAAAAATAAGTAGTTGAAGGCGAAGAAGACTCACAAGTCAAAGCTCACAAAGTTTCAGCCACACCTCGAAATCAGTGACTGTTTTCATAATAAAAATGACTGAAGACATTAAACCAACACCTCAAGTCCTTCGGTGCAGCTTTAATCGACGTACTCGTATAATGGAGAATCCGAGGAAAGTTTGTCTAGATGTGTGATGAATGACTTGTTGCATTGAAAGTTGTGGCGTTGTTCAATAGTGTGTAATCGTGGTCATCAGATCCAAGTACTACTTTTAAACAGGACCTGAAAGTATGATTAACCTCTAGTACGTCCATTAATGTAAATGAAACCAAAATTACCTTACGTCTTAAATAATAATAAATTAGCAAATCCGTTACTTCTGTAGTTTAATAGGTGACCATAAAACTGGTCGTAGTGACTATTAAATCCTAACTATCCCATGTTATAGCTAATGATTACTCAGCATCCTCACTGAATTTAGTTAAGAAGATGACTATATAACTGGTCGTAGTGACTATTAAATCCTAACCATCCCATGTTATAGCTAATGATTACTCAGCATCCTCACTGAATTTAGTTAAGAAGATGACTTATATACCACATAGTGACGGTTATAGCTATTAAATTATCCAGTAAATCCGTTAATACTAGACTTAGAAATTGACTATGTAACAACTTGATGATGGTAATGATAATCCAGTATGTGCTCATTAAATTTAAGTTAAAAGTTCTTGAATCCGATTTAACCTAAGATGAATTTAGCGAGCCTAGTTTAGATCTCGGATATGATTTATAATAAATCAAGACACGTAGGACGAGTGTTAGAAATTCAAATGTATGTGCCTTTTGTCTATAAGGGAACTAGTCTGATCTAATTTAAAAGAACAATTCGTATGTTTAAACTATTTAGCTTTTATCAAATATTTGTAAATAATGATTTTTTTTCGTCAAACAATTCTAATAGCTACGAGGCATTTATGCAAACTTTAAAATACGAATTAACCAATCAACTAATCATATAAATTCTTAAACTCGTTTGAATATGGAGAATTATCTCAGATGGTTGTATTATCGGTTTAAATTCTTAATGATGTGCCTTTTGTGTTCAATGATCTTTTACGATAATTAGAGTAGAGGTTTGTAGAAAGCTTCTTAGTGAGATAATGTTTATACGACCGTTTTGTTTCCGAGTTTCCCTTTATTCTGCCAACATACGTATGTTGTTTTAACACTATTTTGATCTTGTTAACTTGTCATCCACTTGCCGTCAGGGGCAGCATCGTATTTACATAGAAGATAACGCTAATGATGAACATTATTTACAGGAATGATTCGAATTATTTTTAAGTGAAATTCTGGTTTGATGTAAAAAAAAAGACCAAAAAAAAAGACCGTGCACCCAATTTCTGTTGTTTCTTTTCCACTTTATATCCCCACCTCAGTGGCTCAACGGTAAGTCCGAGGACTTTTAACGCTAAAAACCGGGTTTCTATACCTGTTGTGGGCACAGCACAGATAGCCTATTGTGTAGCTTTGTGCTTCTCAACAAACAAATCGGTTTACAACAATCTAAACAAAAGTTAACAAGATTCACAAATGAGAGGTTATTAAATTAGGTTATTTCGGTCAAGAGGATAGAGAAAACTGACTTATTTGAATTAATATAACACACGAGTAAACAGAGCTAAAAAAACTGGTTTTTTGTAAGATAGAAACTTTGACTAGGTTTTCTGTGTTTGGGGGTTCCGTGTTTGTATAGGAAGTGTTCTGCTGGAGCGGTTTTGTGTTGGTCATGCGTATATAACGCACTGATGTATTCTGAGGTGCGCGTGTGAAAAGGCTTCTCCTATATATATATGCGTCTCCACATATATTACAAACGATTTGGTAGACTATGTTTTGGATGTGGCACATTTGTTTGCCCCGTTTTCTCTGGGGTATCATTGTTTTTTTTTGGCAAATTGTGTTTGTGAGTATGAAGAGTAAACTAATAGTTCTTTCAGTGTTTACCTGGTTTTTGCGTTATGTTGATTATCAGTTGGGATTGCTTAATGGCTTTACGAATCTTGTTTGTGATTGTGTTGTTTATGAAAGGAATGTTCATTGAGGGCGTTTTCGTGTATATCTTTTTGTTTTCGGGTCTGTTGCTGTTGTAATGTTTTTGTTGTTGTCATTTTAAAACATTGTCGTTGTAATATTCGGGGTATCCTTTTCGTAATGGTCATGTTTTAAAGTCACTTTGTGCTGTTTGAATGGCATTCGGTGTGGATCAGTTTAATTCTCCTTTATGGTTCATCTTTTGACTCGTTCTGGGTGGTGTGATTTGTAATGGAGAAATATCAGCTTTTTGCATTCTTTGTTATGCATGGAACTCCGTATTTGTCTGTCTTGGATTATTAGGGCTACGTATAAGAACGATAAGTATCCTTCAGCGTTGGGTAGTTTTAGTGTGAACTTGACTGAATATATTGATCAAGTGAAGATATGAAGTTAATGTTGCTATCTATTCCTTCTTATATAGGTGTGGATGGGTACAAGGCGATTTCGTCTAAGGAAAATAAAGTGGAGTCATCACATATTGTTTGTATAGAAGAGTGTATCTTTTTCTAATAGGTCTTTAGTATTGGTTAAGTGTGATGGAACGTACTTGATACGTAGTTTAAACAGTTGATTAAGTGACCAGGATATGCTTTCTGTTGCAGAGTCATATGCTGACACTATGGGTCTTAAAGGTAAATTTTGTTTATGGTCTTTAGGAACTCCATATAGTTCAGGTATACGGCTAATAGACGGTTTTAATTCTGGTGGTCATTTTTCCGGCAAAGCACTTTCTTCTTTCAGATGTTTAAGTATCTTTATGGCTTCTTCTTCGTCCGTCTTGGTTGGATTTTTGTTTAATGTAGCATTGGTGGAAGTATCTTGAAGGTGTTCTTTTATTTTACCTTGGTAACCGTTTTTGGTTAAAACTACAAAACTTTCCTTTGTTTGATTCTTTTATGATTGGATTGTCATTCATTGGGAGCTCTTTTATAGCTGCTTTTTCTGCTGGTGAGATGTTATCTTTTTCTTGACGATTTTCGTGTGTAGCTAGGATATTTTTTATTTGGTGCCATAGGAAGGAGATTTTTTGTTCTGTGGCTGTTGACGTTTTTAACGGTTGATACTTTTGTGAGTCCAATGGGTGACTACGGATTTATAGATGATGCTGATAATCTTCTTGGTGATTTGTATCTCCTATTGGGTGTTAGTTTGTAGTGGATAGACTAACGTTGTCTGGGGTATCGTTGGAGATTTCATTTGTGTTTTTTATGGTTTTTTGTGTCGAGTTTTATTATGTGTTTGTTTTTTCTTTAGTTTCATGATGTTCTTGTTACAACAGACTGGATAAATAGAACATTACAAGCAGTTTTATAATTTAAAGAATATTCTACCATCAAACATTTGTGTATATTAACCGTGATGAAGTCGCAAAGACGAAACGTTGATTGAAATAAAAATATATTCTTTTATATTTATCTGGAATGTAAGGGTTGTTTTTCTAAACTTTTACCAAAATGTGTAAATCCCTTCAGTATGCACTACAAATTTTGGAAGACAGCTACATTTTCATTTTTTTTTTCAAAAATATGGCCTTACCTAATTAAATTCAAATTAGAATCTTTAGATAATATTATTAAAACATAATAAGTTTTTTATAACGCAGAACTATGTCAATCTAACATTTCAGTACATTTTGAAAAAATACAAAGACAAATCTAACAGTATGAAGTTATTATACCTTTTGAGGTATCTTTGAATATGAGAGATACAAGTGAAACCATTATAAAAAGGGCGCTGTCAAAAACGTCTTTCTTCAAGTTTATAATTATGATTCTCTCAAATACAAATATGTCATGATATGAAAGACCGTTTAGTGTAAGTAGTATTAACTGATTATATTGTGAGTTAATATTTCATGATTGTTAAATTTTTTATAATAAGACAGTTAAAAGCAGACGAGTATTGGAAGTTGTGTTTATATATTCATTGATGTTGAGACTATCGAACGTCGCGTGCAATACATTGACGTCGAGAATATAGAGATTTCTAGATGGCGGGCAGACGATTAAGTGATAAACATATAAATAGCGTGAGATGAGTGGATACAACAGACAGAAGAGAGTAATGTCACGGCCAAGGAAAAGTCCGGCGTGAAGTTACCTGCTATAGAAATGATAGGCCTAACGATTAACATAGGTCTAACGTATTCGAGTAAGACTAACAGTAGAAAAGGAAGATAAGAAGAAGAATTTATTTCGTCAAAGCGTGGTTCTAAATTAATTGAATCAGCCTGAGTGCACTTTGATAAAAGGAACAGAGGATATTTTGAAGAAAGAAGACGAAACGATTACTAGAAGAGCAGTATATGACTGTGGTAACTCGCGCCACAATTTTAAGTAAATTATACACAGAATACTAGTGCTATAGAAATAGGGAAAGGTAGTTCGGCTTGTCAACTGAAATTCTAAAGTAATTGAATAGGCCTAAGTGGACTTTTGATAAGAAGAAGGGAATTACATATAGTGTTTATGATATGCTTATAATCTCTATAATGTAAAAAAATTGTGTACATACGTTTAACCAGTTCGAATATATATAT